AGCTGCTCAGGTAAAGGAGGTCGGGGACGGCCTTGGGGAGGATGTGGGGGGTGTCAGGGGATGCGGCTGGCCATCCGTGCTGGAGGGTGAATTCTGCCTGGTGAGGCCCTGGTACAGCGTGCCCGGAGAAGCTGTGGCTGCTGCACTTCCCATCCCTGGAGGTGTCCAAGACCAGGTTGGACGGGACTTGGAGCAGCCTGGGATAGTGGAATGAGTCTCTGGACATGGCAGGGGCGGCACTGGCTGGGATTTAAGGTCCTTCCAACCCAAACCAGTGTGGGAATCTGTGAATTGCGGTTTATGGTGCGTGTGTGGAATTTGGGAGGCCGAGCTGGACAGGGAATCGAAGCTCACCCAGGGGCTCGCAGGAGGTATGGGAGGACAGGGGATCCCACAGGAATACTGGTGTTAAATAAGGGGCTGTTCCCCGGAGTGCTGCGGTGTCGTAGCTGCCGAGGGCACCGGGGATGTGTTGAGCTGGTGTTTGCAACCAGAGATTTTGTGCTGTGAAATTGGAACCCGGGACTGGTATTCTCAAAGAGGCTCAAACCAGCAGGAGCTCTGTTGGTGACCTGAAAATTAAAAACCAGCAGATCTGAGAAGCTGCAATTTAATATAGAAACAGAACTATCGTGAAATGGCTGTTTACCCCTAAAATTGACCCTCCATGTTAATTTCCTTGTTTGATGCCTCATCAGTTTCGAGTCGGTAAACTGGGAGAAACTTGCAAAACAGAAAAAAGAGTAAACAAAAGGCACTTGGGATCCAGAGGAAGCAGGGGAGGAGTGGAAACCTCTGTGTGCTTCCAGCAATAAGATCTCAAACTTGAGCTGGATTTGGTGAAAGAAAATGCCACTGGAATGGAGAAAGTGCAGGATATCCAAGGTTTAGACTGACTGTGTTCAGTTCCACATGAATTATCTTTTCTCTAGACGTGGAAAACTCCAGAGGGAGTCAGACTTCATGGCCAGTGTAGACAGCAGCTGGATCTCATGGGGTGTGGGAGTTTTCATCCTAAAGCCCCTCAAATGGACCCTCTCCAGCGTGCTGGGGGACAGCAAAATTCCTGAGGAAGAGGAGGTTCTGATTTATGTGGAGCTGCTTCAGGTGAGTGTTGTTGAAATCTTTCCTGAGACTGTGCATCTCCAGGAAAAGTCATTTCATGTGCTGGGAAGGAAGGGTCAGGGCTGAGCAGATCTTCATTGGTGCTCCTGGGGTGTTCAAAAGCTTGGAGAGATGGATGGAGGCACTCGGGGATGGGATGTAGATCTGCTGATGTTCCTTGAAAATAATGAAGCTGCTCCAAGGGCTGGAGCCAGGCGGAGAGCTAGGAATGTTCACCTGGAGAAGGGAAGGATCCAGGAAGAGCTCAGAGCCCCTTGCAGGGCCTGAAAGGGCTCCAAGAGAGCTGGAGGGGGACTGGAGACAAGGGATGGAGGGACAGGATACAGGGAATGGCTCCCACTGCCAGAGGACAGGGCTGGATGGGATACTGGGAAGGAATTCCTGGCTATGAGGGTGGGATGAAACTCCCAGAGCAGCTGTGGGAATTCCTGGAAGTGCCCAAGGCCAGGCTGGAGCACCCTGGGCCCATGGGAGGTGTCTCTTCCATGTCAGGGGTGGCCCTGGATGGGATTTCGGGTCCTTCCAGACCAAACCATTCCAGGGCTGTGACAATGACATTTCACTGACTCCAAGAAAAAGGAGGGACACAATTCCTTGCTTGTCCAGGAAGGCAAGAACTGTGCTGGGAGCCAGCTGGAAATCCCAGGCTGGAGCCCATTCCTGTGTAGGACATGAGGAACTCTCAGCTCGAGCTCCATCTGCTCCAGGGATGAGCAGGGCATGGGACAGTCACAGCCTGGAAATCCAATGTCCCACCAACCCAAGTTCCCTGGGCATTATTCAAGCTGCTTTCCCATGGGATTGGAGCTGCCCTTGGATCCTGTCCCAGCCCCTTTTCCCTCTCTGTTACTCTGTGACTCTGCAGAATGAGCCCCAGGTCTTGCTGGGTTACTGTGTCCAGCAGAAATGCAGGAAATCTTTAAAAGGCAGGAATTTTTATTTGCTTCATACCTGGGGAGGGATTTCCAGGGAATCCAGTTGGTGGTTCCTGTGGTGTTCCACAGCATTTCAGGGAATGTCAATGGTTGAGTTTTGGTTTTTGTAGATGAACTATTTTGAGAGTTCCCTATAGCTCATTCTGAAAGTCACTCTGGAATAAAACAGATGTCCAGGTTGGGAGGAAGGAGGTATGGGAGGATTTGGGAAGAGCAGGAATGCTGTGTGGGCTGACAGCATTCCTGTGATGCCCTGGAGTGGCTCCCCAGACCAGAGGCTGGACAAGATGAAGAGAATAAAGCAGGGATTGCTTGAAGGCCTTCAGCAGAGACCCCTTGGGTAGCCAGAGCCTCACAGAGGCTGCACCCCAGATGCACACACCAGTTTTTCACACAAGTCTGGCCCATTGTCATATCAGGGGTTGATTCTCTAATTACAGCTTCAGGTAACAAAATAATTCACCCCCAGTTTGCTTCCCCATAACTCACTCATGTTTGTAATTCTGGGGCCCTGATGCAGTAGAGTGTCCTTGGATTTCAGGCCCGCAGGGATTGCTTTGTCCACCCAAACTGAGTAAGTAACGCTCTGTGTGGAGTTCACAATGCACTAATGCAGTACAGCATTTGGGAAATACCAAAGGTCAAATCCTAAGGCATCACCTGGATCCCTTGCAGGAGAAGGCAGAGGAAGTTTATCGCTTCTACCAGAACTCTGCCCTCTCTTCCCACCCCGTGGTCGCCCTCTCCGAGCTGCGCTCCCTCTGTGCCGGGCTCTGCCCAGATGAAAGGACCTTCTACTTGTTGCTGCTGCAGCTGCAGAAGGAGAAGAGGGTCACCATCCTGGAACAGAATGGAGAGAAGGTACAGGGTCCAGGTGACTGCTTTTGGGTGGTATCATCCCTGTCTTGTTGTTCCATCTGCCCGGAGAGAAATGGATTTTGGCCATTTTGGTGGCTCAAGTGGGTGTTTGCTGTCTGGAAAGGTAAATTCCACGTGCTCCAGTGTTGTTACGTGGTTGTAGGTGACAAGAAATCCTCATTCTGGCATGGCAGGTTCTTTAAACATTTATAATAATTCTGATTTAACGTAAGAGTTAACGCTGTGGCTGATTCTGCAGGTTGACTGTTCCCAGCTACATAAACTCCACACCTCTGGAATCAGTGTGGAATTCATGCTTTTTTTGAAAAGTTTTTTCTGTTTGTCACTTCCTACAGAGGCACTCAGCTCTGAGATTCCACTTTCCCTGTAGTGTTCTGAAGTCCTTGGGAGTCTGGCATTCCCACCCACTTCCAGAATCCAGGGACAGCTTGAAATCTTCCAGGTGTTCCATTAAAGCTTTTTGTTTCCACCCTGCTGATCCTGATCCTGCCCAGTTTAATATTAAATCCTGTGGTGACTGGGACATCCTCATGACTCCAAGGCCTAAACTGGGAGTGTAAAAACTTCTTTTCCTTTTTTCCAAGTGAAAATACTCCTAATTCAGATTTTTGGGAAGTGACTCCAGCCTGTGCTGCTCTGATTTTTAGATCGTGAAGTTTGCCCGAGGTCTCCACGCCAAGGTGTCCCCAATGAATGATGTGGACATCGGAGTTTATCAGTTGATGCAGAGTGAGCAGCTGCTGTCACAGAAGGTGGAGTCCCTTTCCCAGGAAGCAGAGAAGTAATTTGGGGAAGAGTGGTGGGAACAAAACTTGGGATGTAAAACTTTGGGACACAATTAGAAGCTGCTTTGTGTTCTTTCCTATTCATAACCAAAATAGTCCCAGCTGTGTGCTGGGACAGCTTTTCCAGCCCTTGTTCTCTGTTCCCTATGAAAACAAGGTGCAGGGAATGGCTGTGAGGAATGTTTGCAAGGATTTGGGATGCAAGGATTCAAGGACTTGTGGGAGTCAGCTGTGGTTTGAGGGTGGTTGTATCCAAAATGCACCGTTGCGGTCCCCTCTGAGAGAGGGAGAGGGTGGTTGTGGTTTGTAAAACAAGGAAGAAATTTCCTTTCCTTTCCTTTTTCCATTTCCCAGGTGTAAAGAGGATGCCAGGAGTGCATGCAGAGCTGGGAAGAAGCAGCTGGTGAGTGGAATTCCCAGGGAAATGTCCCGGAATTGCTGCTCCAGGGTTAAACCTGGGGGCTGCATTGCAGGGGTGTTGGAGTGGTGGCTGTGAAACCAAAGCTCTCCCTGAGGTAGAGGATTGACTTTTCCAGAGTGAGGTGATGAAGGGAAATGGAAATAAACTCTTAAACCCATTTGTTCTGTGCGTGCCTCCAGGATTCTTGGTTGTTTGGGGTTTTTTTTATGACACTTCCAGAATATCCCGAGTTGGAAAGGACCTGCTCAGAATTATTGAAATCCAGCTCCTGGCCCCTTTTTTTATAATTTTTTTTTAATTCATAAATTAATTTTTTTTCTTCATTTCTGAACAAGTTTTAAACAAACACAAACCCACATTTCACAACCTTCCTCTGCTTTTCCTTACTTCCTGTGTGATGCAACAGGCTACAGATACCTGCCTGAAACCAGCATGAAATTCCTCCAGGATTGCTTTTTTTGGGAGGAGACTCCAACACCCAGGAACATGAACAGCTGCAGATGCCAGCTGGAATATTTCAGATGGTCTGACCTTTCCAAAGTAGGCATCCAGGATTTTCCTGCTGGATACCAAGTGATCCAGGAATATCTGGATGAACCCACAAGTTCAGATGCAGCATGGAGGACACTTGTCCCTTCCCCATTTTTAGAGCTTCATCCCATGGTGCCAATAGGAATTCCTGGAGTGGGAATTAGCCCAGGGGTGGGGAGACTTCCCAGATTTGTGTGTAAAGCTGAGCTGAGGTGTGTGTGTGAGTGTGTGTATGTGTCCCTGGGCAGGCCCTGAGGTGCCTCAAGTCGAAGCGGAGGACTGAGCGGCGCATCGAGGAGCTGCACTCCAAGCTGGATGCAGTGCAGGGAATCCTGGATCGGATCTACGCCTCCCAGACCGACCAGATGGTACCGTGGGCTCCTCCCCTAGGCTCCTCCAGCCCCTGTCTTCCACTCCTTCCTTCACCTGAGGGGTGGGATTTACCCTGGGAATATCCTTCTGGATAAAGCTCCCTCCATTTCCTGGTGTTTCTCCAAGGATCCTGCTTGGGAAGCAGCTCTGGAGAGGAGCTCCCACTGTTTTCATCAGCATTGTGCATCTTTTTATTTTTAATTTCAAGGTATTTAATACCTACCAGCCTGGAGTTCATCAGCATCAAACATATTTTTGTCTTTTATTTTTAATTTCAATGTATTTAATGCCTACCAGCCAGGAGTTCATCAACATTTTGCATCTCCACCTCTTTTTATTTTCCATTTCCAGGTGTTTAATGCCTACCAGGCTGGAGTGGGAGCTCTGAAGCTTTCCATGAAGGATGTGACTGTGGAGAGGGCAGAGAACCTGGTGGATCAGATCCAAGAGGTACTGGAACAGCAAAAGGAGCAGCCAGGGGGGTGTGAATATTCCCAAGAAACCTGCCCAGATGTTAATTAATTATTAATTCCTTGGTTGCTTTTAATTATTTAGTTTTTTTCCATTATGGCACTGAAGAAAACTGGCTTAATTTTGAGCTAAAATATCAGCAAGAAGAAGATTTCTATGTATTCTGGCTTTGCTGTTACGTATTTTAACTTTAAATTTGTGCATTTTGTGGGATTTTTGATTCAGCAATATTGGGGGAGCGCCCAGCTTTCCTAGGAAGTCTTTGGGTGTGTTAAAAATACAAATCAAACCTTTGGAAGCTTGAATCCAACTGTGTGCATGAAACAGCCTGACATTTCATTTAATTTAATTTTGTTTTGTTCTATTTTTGTTTTATTCTATTTTTATTTGATTTATTCTATTTTTATTTTATTTTACTTTGTTATTTTATTTCATTCTGTTTTACTCTTTTTATTTCATTCTGTTTTATTCTATTTAATTCAATTTTAATTTTATTTTAATTTTATTTTATTTTCATTCTATATTATTTGAATTATTTTAATTTTCTAAATTTCATTCTATTCTATTTTATTCTATTTATTCTATCTTAATTCTGTCTTAATTCTATTTTAATTTAACTTTAATTCATTTTTTTTATTTTCATTCTATTTTTATTTTTTAAATTTTATTTCATTTTATTCTATTTTATTTCATTTTATTCTATTTTATTTCATTTTATTCTATTTTATTTCATTTCATTTTATTGTCTGGGTGGTTTTTTTTCATAGGGTGGACTTGATGATCTCAAAGGTCTTTTCCAACCTAGTTAATTCTGTAATCTGTAGTTCAGGGAGGGCAGGGAGTTAATTCTGCAGGAATGGAATGAGCAGAGCAGTCTGGCTGCCAAAGCTGGTGTGAAAACCAGCCAAGGATTTATTTTTTAGCACCATCAGCTCAAACTGAGAGCGCAGCTCAAGCTGAGGGGCTGCAAAATGTCGTGGCTGACGTGTTGGTCTCTTCAGCTTCCTCATCGTGGAGCCCAAGCTGCAATTTCAACTCTTTGTTTCTGTGAAAAAGCTCAAATCTGAGAGATATTTTTACTCCCACTGTGAAGTTCTGGTTTGGGGTTGATCCTGGCATGTGCCACACTTGCTCTCGTTATTTATTATTCTGGAATAATCTTCCTGTTCCTTGTGAAAACCATGGTAGAAATGGCTTTTGCACTAATTTCTGCTGCCTTCGTGTCAGCTTCTGGTTTTTGTTATTTCTGCTTTTGATAAAACAGCTACAGGAGGGCACAAAGTTCATTCCTGAATTAGCCCAAGCTAATTGTGTGTATTTTCCCTCAGCTTTGTGATACTCAAGATGAAGTGGCCCAGACTCTGGCTGGAGTAGGGATCAATGGTCTAGGTATGTCCTGGCCTTTTTATCCTTTGCTCATCCCTTCCCTGCTCCTCCTTTTCCCTCTTCTTCTTTTTCCTGCTCCTTCTTTTCCCTCTCCTTCTTTTTCCTGCTCCTTCTTTTTCCCTCTCCTCCTTTCCCTGCTCCCTCTTTTCCCCCCGGCTCCATCCCTTCCCTGCTCCCTCCCCACATCCAGCAATTGCCTGGGGCAATAAACCCTTCCCTAAGTACCAAAGTTGGTGCCTTGCAGGGAATGGGGAGCAGGGAGTTCTCCCCTCTGACTTTCTCCATCTCAGATTCTCCTGGTTTGGGGCTGGATTTCAGTTCAAAGCTATGTAACATTGATTAAAATCTATTTTTGGTGTGGCTGCTGCTTTGTTTTTTTGGAGTGATCAGCTTTCTCCTCTGGCCTGGCTGCTGCTGCAGGTTGTTTGCCTCTGCTGAAAGGTACCAGAGTTTCTTGGTGTCAGTGCCAAGAAAAAAAATTTGCCTCTCTGAGATCAGGACTACATTTTAAGTCCTTTAAAAGAAGCAGAGGAAATTCCTTGTGAGTAACGATGGGAGGAATACCAGCTCTGTTTTGGATCTCAGGCTGTGCTGTGAGGATGCCACTGAATTCTTCTTGGAGCTGAAATGTTTTCTTTCATCAGCAGAGATGGACTCTGAGGAGCTGGAGAAGGAGCTGGACAGTCTCCTGCAGGACTCGAGTAAGGATTCCGTGGATCTGCCTCCCGTTCCCCAGATGGTGCTGAGTGCCCGTGTCTCCGATGCCGAGCTGGAAGCTGAGCTGGAGCAGCTCTCTGTGTCTGCTGGAGGTGGGAATGGCAGCAGGGCCTGGGAATGGCAGCAGGGCCTGGGAATGGCAGCAGGGCCTGGGAATGGCAGCAGGGCCTGGGAATGGCAGCAGGGCCTGGGAATGGCAGCAGGGCTTGGGAATGGCAGCAGGGCCTGGGAATGGCAGCAGGGCCTGGGAATGGCAGCAGGGCTTGGGAGGGAGCTGCTCTGGGAGCTGGGACAGCCCTGAGCAGCACAGGGCGTCAGCAGAACTAAACCAAATCCTGGGAGAGCTGGGAATTCTTCCTGGATCCTGGTTCAGTCAATCCTAGGCCTGGGAGAGCTGTGAATTCTGCCTGGATCCTTTGCCTAGGGTGGAGGGAAAGCTGAGGGCTCTGTGAGGGAGCTGCTGCATGGACTAATTGCTTTTTAAAATTGAACAAAGGCAGCGTTGGGAAGGATAAAACAGACAGGACTTGTCCAGCACTCAGCATCTTCCCTGGAATGCTCTTTATGTGGGACAGGCCTGCTTAAACTGGGCTTTATTTACTGATAAGGAAATAAATAATAAAATAATTTAAATTATTTTTAAAAATCAATCATATTTTATGATTTATATCCTATGATTTAGTAACAGTGAATGACCAGAGTTTATTGGTTTGAGCTGAGCTTTCCCTACATTTATCTTGGACAGTTTCAGTTTTCCTTTTGTGAATCTGTTCATGGATAATTCCACAGGATTGGCCATGTAATTTTCCTTGTGTTTGGACAGGTTATAAGCTCAATTTCCAGAGCATTCCCTATCAAAATTCCCTATGGAATGTGTGATTCCAGAGGGATGGAACACGTGATTCCAGGGGGATGGAGCTGAGCAGGGAAGCACAAATCTCTCTGGAATTCTATGGGGTAGTTGTGCATGTGTTTGATGAGTTCTGATCTCTGTTGCAATTCTTTTTGCAGATCTGGCACAAAAGACTCCCTCTGCTTCTTCTGAACCCAAAACAGCTCTGGGACTGAACCTCTGAAGAGCCAACAGAATCCTGTTGCTGCAGTTTGGGAAGTTGTCTCAATGTTCCTTAAGTCATGACCAGAACTTCCAAGGAGAGGGGGACACCCCCCTGTCCTTCTGGATCTGTCTTTGCTCAGCAGCAGGAGCTCCTGCCATGACAATCCGCTCTGGACCTGGCCCCAGCTGGTGTTTGTCATCTCTGTGCCAACATCTGCACCGGTCTTGACCTGACTCGTGACGCCAAGTCACTGCCACATCCAGTCTTCCCTCCTGGGAATACAGTTCCAGCGAAGATAAACTCTTCTGTGTCCATAACAATGCTCAGTTTTGGGTTTGATTTTGATTTCTCTTCCTTTGCTGTGGCTGGTGTTGAGAATCTGAGTAGCAGCAGCGTTGCAGTGGCTCCGCATTCGCTCTTTGTGTGGTTGTTTAGAACACTTGGCACGTCAGTTCTGCCCTTAGCCAGGTAAAACACCTGGTGGTTGTTGTTCCCTCCCTCTGAATCCTGCACTCACAGCCAGGCACTGGAACTGCTCAATTTTAGGAGATTCTGGTGCTGCTCAGGCAGGGCAGCAATGAAGCACAAAAGAATCCCTCTCTCTGGAATGACATGAAGGCCTTAAAAGGTCAATGAAGACCTGCAAAAGATTCCCCTGGAGAAGTTTCAGGCTCTTGTGGCCAAGGTTGGGCACTGTCATCCCGCCTCTTTCTGCTGGATTTCATCTTGGAATTGGAGCTGGTGGCTGTTTTTGTGTTCTCCCTGTAAGCAAAACTCCATGGGAGCTGCAGGGTGATGGCTCTGAGCTGCCACGGAGGGATTTGGGGTGGGAAGAGAAGGGATCCCATACGAGAGCACAGCTCCACAGAGCAGCCTTGGCTTTGCCTTCAGCCCTGGCACTGCAATCCCACAGGATTGTTCCCAAAAAGGCCCAAACCCAGCCCCCCTGTGGATGTTTTTGATGCACAAAACCCTAAGCTCCACACCTGCAGCTGCTTCAGGGCTGTCTCTCCCCACACGAGCCAAACTCTCGTCTTTTGCAGGTCACTTTTTACCCCTGGCATGCACAAGGGAGTGTGGGAAGCCCAAATCCCTGAAAAACGGAGCTTCCAGGAGGGAAATGTTCCCTTTCCTGGGATTCCTGAGCATGGCAGGAGAGTGCCTGGCTGCCTGTGGATGGATCACCAGCCCTGTGCCCCTCTCCCTGACTGTGAATGTGTTCCAGCACCACTGGGAATGTGTTCCAGCACCACTGGAATGTAATCCAGCACCACTGGAATGTAATCCAGCACCATTGGGAATGTGTTCCAGCACCACTGGGAATGTGTTCTAGAATTTCCACGCTGCCTCTCCCAACTCCATTCCTTGGTGGCAGCTCAGGATAATGGGAATGGGGGCTGGAGTTTCCCCTCCTGGTGATAATTTCTTGCCTGCTCAGCCCCAGCCCAGGGCCAGGGGTGGCACTGGGGGTGTCCCCAGGGTGGCACTGGGCTGTCCCCAGGGGCTGTGTCCCCTCTGTCACCTCTCACCAGTGCAGGCTCCTGCCAGGGGAGGCTGCAGCTCCCAGTTCCCCCATGGAATGATGTAAAATGACTTGAAGCTCTGGATTCCTTTCCTCTGTAAGTAAACGGGAGAAAAACCTTGGTGTTTTCTGCCTGTGTGTGACAAAAAGGGAGGGGAAGGACCCGAGGAACCTCCTGTGCTTTTTCCCTCTTCCAGCTGCTGTTCCAGCTGTGCTGGAATGCAGGGATACTCCTGGGCTGCTTTATCCAAACCCAAACTAAGCAACTGCTCCACCAGACTTTAAGCTGGGTTTAAAAAGCCCATTGTTAAATATTAACACATTAATAATTGGTCTGTTTTTCCTGAGCAGCCTCTGCTGCTTTTTGGGTGGCACCACCTTCTTTCCTGGTGTCATTTTGGACACAATTCCTGCTTTTCCTTATGTTTCCCCCTTTTTATCACTCTGCATCTCAAATCCGCACTTTCAAGGCTCACAATCACAGCCCTTTGCCTAAACCACTTTGCCCATGGAGAAAAGGAAATCAGCTCTAAGGAACCACTTGGTTTTGTACCAGACAATTCCTAAAGCTGATTTTGGGACATTTTTTTCACCTACCTTGTTCTAATTGTAATTAAGCAGCTCAGACTGGGAGCCTGGTATTGGTTTTCCCTCTGCCCGAAAAAAATTGATGTAAACTTGAGTGGCCTGGTGTATAAAAAAACAGATTTCCCTCTAAAACCATGATGCCTAAACCTGGAATTCCCAGGCTGTTGATGCTGTTTCATCGGGCTGAGGTTTGATCTGATCCCTGGAGAGCTCCCATGGATTTTTTACAGGGCTCAGGCCTCGCCTACAACCTGGATTTTTTCAAGTCTGACTCCTCCTTTCTCTCCTGATCCCAGAACTTGTTCTTTCCCTGGAAATCCAGTGGGATTCCTGCAGGAATAAGCACTCTCCTGTAATCCTGGGATGCATCAGCCATGCTGGAAGCGACACTGAGGAGTTAAATCCGAGCAGCTGCTGCTTTATTTGGAGTGGCTGGTAATTTTCTGCCTTTGATGCAGAGTGGGGGATGTAATCAGGGTGCCTGAATGGAGAATTTTCAGGATATTTTGGTGAGACAGCAGGGAAAGGAAATCAAGGGCAGCCTCTTGCTGGGTGAGGAAATTAAATATAAAAACTTTAAGCTGAATTGCCACCAAACTGGAATCTTCTTATGCTGGAGAGCTGTTTAAAATAGTACTTAACTCGAGGCTGGAAACAAAATAGTACTTAACTCGAGCCTGCTGAACTGTTGATTATAAAATAATGCAGTTTCCTCAGGGGTGGGAGATGTGTTCTCTCACAGGGGGAGCTGCTGGCTTTGCTTTGCATCAGGAGTGGTCCAAAATGCTCAGAAATTGGGCAAATTGGATCCCATCCCATTTTCCCACACCAACTCACTGCAGCTGAAGGGAGAGGAAGGGGGGAGCTCCTTTCCTACGGCCTCAGGTTGTGCCAGGGGAGGTTTAGGTTGGAAACTGGGACAAAATCCTTCATGGAAAGTGTCAGGCGCTGGAAGGGTGGAATTGCCGTCCCTGGGGGGGTTCCAGATGTGGCACCTGGGGACACAGTTTGGGGGTGGCCCTGGGCAGGGCTGAGGCCACACTTGGACCTGGTGGTCTTGAAGGTCTTTGCTGACCTTAACAGCTCTAAAATTTTGTATTTTGGAGCTCCTGGGGAGGAGAAGCTGATTTGTATCTCAGAGAAGGATTTCCTGGGAACTTCCTGGCTTGGGATGTGCCACCATGAGATGCCACTGCCACCCTCAGCTGTCATTTACTGAGGTGGCACAGCCAGTGCCACCCTGCTGGGCTGGGACAGATGAGTGTCACCACTGCCGTGTGTGACAGAGCAGTGCCACCCTGTCCTGTCGCAGGTCCCTGCCCTCACTGCTCACTCGGACAGCAGTGCCAGCATCCCTGTCTGTTCCTGAGATCCTGGAAATCTTTGTGCCCGGAGCAGGGATTGGGAGGAAAACTCCCCGTGGGGTGCAGAGGGCAGAGGAGGAGAGAGCTCTGCCAGGGATATCCTGAGTGGGAAAGGACCCAGACGCCCCAAAATCCCACCCTGGGCATCCCTGGGAACAGTGTCCAACACTCCTGGAGCTCCGGCAGCCTCGGCCCGTGCCATTCCCTGGGAGCTGTCCCGGTGTTTATTCCAGAACCTTCCCTGCTCTCCAGCCCGCCCTTGCCCTGAGCCAGCTCCATGCTTTTCCTCTGCTGGAATCCCGAATTCCCGAGGGTAGGCGCTGCTCCATGCGCCGGCCGCTGGTGCCATCTACCCTCGCTCCCTGGAACAGCGGCGCTGCGGGCGGCGGCACTAATGAGGCTTCATTAATTAAATCGGGCAAAGGCCGGGACACGGGGACAAGGAGCGAGCCCGGGCTGTGTCTTCCAGGGAATATCGGCTCCTTGTTGGGGAGGGCTCGGGACACGTCCTGCTCTCCCTGGGCTCGGCAGAACCGGCTCGGGGTGATGGATCTGGGCTCGGGAATCCCGGGATGATGGATCCGGGCTCAGCAGAAGTTTCAGAGTACAAAACTTCCACGTTTGTACCGGATTTTTAGATGGGTTTTTTCCCTTTTTTTCCTCTGGAAAAGGAATTTTGCAGTGGACAGTAAATGCCAGTTTTGCACCAGCTCAGGGCAGGGAGGAGTGATTGGTTTGGGGTCATCTCTGAGCTGTGACTCAGCGCCTGGGCAGGGAAATCAAGCGTCTTTTATGCAGAAATCACAATAAATTTCTGTGCTCATTTGCATTGAGGACCCTCAAATCTGACTGAAATGATTATTTCCCCCCTTCAACCCTCTCACTAATTCCCAGTGACTCACCCTGTGGATCCACACGTTCTCCCAGCTCCGAGGGGCAGAGCCAGGTCCCACCCGAGTGAAATCCAGAGGGATTTGGCTCCAGAGGGAAGAGCAGCCGGGTTTGGGAGCAGGGAGCGACTGCAGGAGCAGAGGGAGCTCAGTCCCCTCTTGCTCCTGACAGCGAATCCCAGACTGGCTGGGGAAGGGATCTGGGAATTCTGCAGCAAGCACAAGATCAGCAGCAGGTGAAGAGAAGAGAGGAGAGGGAGGAAGATTTCAGCAAAGGCTGCCCAGCCCCGGAGGTGAGTGTGGGCTCCCAGGAGCAGCGGTGGGAGGCCGGAGGGAAAATCCAAACTCTGTCAGCAGAGACCTGGAAAGGACTGAGAGCTTCCAGCACTTTTCCTGTGCTGACAGTGGGCCTGGATTGCAGCTGGGGCTTCAGAGATGCTGTGGGAGCAGGGAAAACGGGAAAACATGCTCTGGATGCTGATGGTGAGCAAATGAGAAACCTCGGCAGGACCGGATAAACGGGGAAGCCATGGATGGGTTTTACCCCTCTGCAGGAGGAGCCGGGCAGGACGTGCTCAATGCAACCAGCTGGGCAGAACAGAGCCACTCCCCACTGTCCCTGCGTGTGGTGACAGCCACCTGCCTGGCCTTCCTCATCCTCTCCAAGCTGCTGGGGAACGCCCTGGTGTGCGTGGCCGTGCTCAGGTTCCCACAGCTGTGCTCCAAGGTCACCAACCTGTTCATGCTCTCCTTGGCTCTGTCTGACCTGCTGCTGGCCGTGCTGGTGATGCCCTGGAGAGCGGCCACTGACGTGCTGGGCTCCTGGCCCTTCGGGGCTTTCTGTGACCTTTGGGTGGCTTTTGACATCATGTGCTGCACGGCCTCCATCCTCCACCTGTGCCTCATCAGCCTCGAGCGCTCCTGGGCCATCACCGACCCTTTCTGCCACCAGAGGAGGGTGACACAGCTCATGGCCTCGGTCACCATTGGGGTGGCTTGGCTGCTGTCCCTGCTCATCTCCTTGGTCCCCGTGCAGCTGCGGTGGCACGAGGAGCCCCTGAGCTGGGAGCAGCTGGGATTGAACAGCTCTGTGGAGGAGGGGAGCTGTGATTCCAGCCTCAGCAGAACCTACACCATCTCCTCATCCCTCATCAGCTTCTACATCCCCGTTGCCATCATGCTGGTCACCTACGGCCGCCTCTTCCTCATCGCCCGGCGCCAGCTCCGCGGGGATCTCCTCCCTGGAGAGACTGGCTGGACAAGCCTGGAGCTGCCCTCGGGAAACCTCCCCGAAAAACTCCCTCAAGAAGGAGACCAAGGTGCTCCAGACCCTCTCCATCATCATGGGCGTCTTCGTGTGCTGCTGGCTGTCCTTCTTTGTGCTCAGCTGCCTGGTGCCCTTCTGCGACACCGAGCCGGGTGGCCCGGGAGCGCTGCCGTGCGTCAGCAGGACCGTGCTCAGCGCCTTCATCTGGCTGGGCTGGGCCAACTCTGCCCTCAACCCCATCATCTACGCCTTCAACGTGGAATTCCACAGTGCTTTCGCCTCCCTGCTGGGCTGGGGCTGCCTCTGCCCCGGCAGTGCCATGGAAGCAGTGACCTTCAGCAAGGAGCTGGTGTCCTTCCACCGCGACACCGCCGGCCACAGGGCTCTGGAGACCCCCAGCCACCCCCAGCTACTGCCCCATGCTGTGCTGCAGGTGGAAAACCACGAGGTGACCTTGGAGAGAGTTTCTCCAGGCTCCTCTCCCTGTCAGGAGCCCTTTCCTGAGTGCGGAAGCCCCATCCAGCCAGGGAGGATTCCCCCGCCCTCCCACAGCGCCTTCCACTAAGCCTGGGGTGGGAAAGGAGTGGTGGGAAGGTCTCCAGCAGAGAGGGAAGCTGGGACATTCCTGTCACTGCCCGTTCTCTGAGGAGCTGAGAATAATGAGGGAGTTTCACCCTGATTGCATCACCGAGTGTGGAATAACCAGAGTGGTTTTCCAGGTGTCTCCAGCCTTGTTTTTGTAACTGAATTTTGGTCCCAGCCTGGGTGGGCAGCAGGGATTTGTGTTGCTGCTTTCTCCAGTTCACCCATGGAGAAAAAACCTCACTTTCTGCAAAAGATGGAAATGGAAGGGCTGGAATTCAACTTTACCAGTGACTTCAGCTGAGAGAGCAGAGATGGTTCAGTTTCCTGAGCCCCGCTCCATGGTCAGGAAGTGAAAACCCTGTGGCTGCAGGGAGAGGCGGCTTTGGCCACTGCCCTTGTCCTGTGGCCACCAGCCCGAGGCTGCTGGATGGGCACTGGCCAAATCCAACTGGACACTGGCCAAATCCAACTGGACACTGGCCAAATCCAACTGGACACTGGCCTGGGGCTGCTGGCAGAACTGGTCAATCCTGCCTGGAGCTCTGTGAGGCGATGCTGGGCTGTGTGGCACCTCCAGCCATGGAAAGCCAGTGGCCTGTGTGGAAAGGAGGTGCTGGATTTGCCAGGATAACTCTCCTGGCCTCACCCCTGTCTGTTCCAGTCCCCAGGAGCTAAATGGATGTTCCAGGATAACTCCCCTGGGCTCACCCGGGGCTCTCCCTGTGCTCAGGAACTCATCCTGCAGGTCTGGCCACCTTCCCTGGAGACCTGGGACTGTGTTTGGGAGCAGCTCCATGTCTGGAGCTGTTGCAGGATGGATTTGGAGCCTCCTCGAGCTGGGATCGCCCAGCTGAGGGCTCTGGGCAGGGGTCAAAGCCATGTTTTAGCCCCTGGATGTTTGGAATCTTTGGGAATGAGGGTGTTGGAGCCCTCCAGAGGGCATTGTCCAGGTTTCTGCTCCTCCAGCCCACTCTGCACCCCCAGATCCTCCTGTTGTGAGGCTCTTCCTTTTTTGCTTTATTCTCCTGCCAATTCCCTTCCTCCTCCATTTCATTACGGATCCTTCTGTCCTCGGAGCTGCCTGGTCTCAGTGATAAAGGCTCCTCAGAACCTCTGCTCGCTCGCCAATTGACTTCTGGAAGTTTCTGTGTGACCGGAGAGGTCAGGAGCTGCTCCTGGTGCTCTGTTCCAGCCCTGGCAGTGACCTTGGGAAGGAATTTTCATCCCTGCCCGATTAAACATCCCTGTGAATCCCTGTGAATCCCTCAGGGGGATCCTCAGCTCTCCAGTGCTGTAGGAAAGCGTCTCCCCCTACTCGGCGAACAGGGGGAGTTCTAATTAATTACAGGGGAAGCACTAATAACAGAGTGCTGCTAATGATGAAACAGAGCCCAGTTCCAGCGGGATCAGCGTGGGAGCTCTCCCAGACTCCGGGATTTTTCCAGGGAAGCACTGACAGGACTCAACAGCACCCACGACACCCCCCTGTGGGACAGCCAGGAGGATCTGGGCTCAAGCCAAAACAATCTTGGGGTTTTGAAGCTTAATTTACAGAAGGGAATAGCGGTCTGAGATGGGGACGATCGCCTGGAACCCCCCAAGTGACTGATTTAATCTGAATGCTGCCATAATATTTATAATTAATGTTTATAATTAAACTCTGGGTGTTGTGGGGTGCTTGGAGCTCCTGCCTTGGCCGCAGGAGGGAACTGGAGTGCCCAACTTTTCCCAAAACTGTTTTGGAAGAGTTTCCTGGTACTTGTGGAAAAATTCTGGGGCTTTATCCAGGATGGTTTGGAAAGGGATTGGAGGAAAACAGCCAGCTTGGTGTGTCTGTGGTGCCCCTGAACAAAGAGGCTGAATGTCCCTTTTTTGTGTCCTACTATTACCCATATTTCATAATTGAATTGTTTAATTTAATGAATATATTTAGTGATTGTTGCATTTTCCTGCAGCAACTCTCTCCAGCCCCCCGGGCCTGGCAGCAGAAGGGACAAGGTGGTGGCAGAGCCCAACCCTGGCAGGGGAAGAAATAAATCCCAGATATTCCTGTGGGCAGACTGGGAAATGGCTCCAAACTGTTCCTTGTTTTCCTGGCTGCAGAATGCGTCTCCTTTTCCCATTTTTTCCTGCACAGGAATTCCACCAGGAAGCGTCTTCCTCCTTTTCCTCCTCCTCTTCTTCCTTCTCCCATCCCAAATTCCACACTCGGGTGAGTGAATTGGGGCAGGATTTGTGCCTGACCCTGCTTTGTAATCTCAAAAAAAGCCCCCAGGTCACTTCCCGGAGCTCTGGAGGTGCCAGGGGTGACCTGGGGACAGGTTCTGGGATTTTGGGGTGAGGAGCAGAGGGACCCGAGTAAGGAGATAGTTGCAAAAGGGAAGGGAGGAAAAGCATCAAATCCACGTGGAATTCAGCAGCTAGAGGGGAAAAAAATTGAGGTTCCTCCTAAGCCAAACGATTCCATGATTTTAATGTGTTGGGCTGGGAGAGTGTGGGAATTAACCCCGCACAGGTGATTTGTGCAGATGTGGAATTGTGGAATTTCCCAGCTGGAATTGCAAGGGGACAGCCTGGGATAGGGAATGACTGCTGTCCTTAAAGCGATTTTTCAGCAAGAAAAAATCAGGAATTTTAGGAGGAATTGATTTAAACAGAGAAAGGGGAAAATGAGCACAGGGGAGGGAGATGGGATGTGGCTGCTGGGGGTTGGTGCCTGGTTGCTTCCAGGCTGGAAAGCTGCTCCTCTCATCAGGGAAATGGTTTCCCTGAGGATGGTTTCCCGGGAAAGCCGAGGCCGGGATGGTTTTCCAGGGAAAGCCGAGGCCGGGATGGTTTTCCAGGGAAGCCGAGGCCGGGATGGTTTTCCAGGGAAGCCGAGGCCGGGATGGTTTCCAGGGAAGCCGAGGCCGGGATGGTTTTCCAGGGAAGCCGAGGCCGGGATGGTTTTCCAGGGAAGCCAAGGCCAGGATGGTTTCCCAGGGAAGCCGAGGCCGGGATGGTTTCCCAGGGAAGCCGAGGCTGGGATGGTTTCCCAGGGAAGCTGAGGCCGGGATGGTTTTCTGGGAAAGCCGAGGCCAGGATGGTTTTCCAGGGAAGCTGAGGCCGGGATGGTTTTCTGGGAAAGCCGAGGCCAGGATGGTTTTCCAGGGAAGCCGAGGCCGGGATGGTTTTCCAGGGAAGCCGAGGCTGGGATGGTTTCCCAGGGAAGCTAAGGCCGGGATGGTTTTCCAGGGAAGCTGAGGCCAGGATGGTTTTCCAGGGAAGCCGAGGCCGGGATGGTTTTCCAGGGAAGCAGCTCCAGGCAGGGTGAAATCAGCCCCGGCTGCCTCGATCCCGGTGGCGATTCTGGAGCGGGGCTGGGAGAGCGGCGCTGGAGCAGGACCGGGAGGCTCGGGGGAGAGCAGGGCCAGGAGCTCCGGCCGGCACCGGCGTGGGGATGGCTCGGATGGAGCTGGGACAGGGAGCGAGAACCGGGATCGAGCGGGACAGAACCGGGATCGAGCGGGACAGAACCGGGATCGAGCAGGACAGAACCGGGATCGAGCAGGACAGAACCGGGATCGATCAGGACAGAACCGGGATCGAGGGGGACAGAACCGGGATCGAGCGGGAAGAACCGGGATCGAGCGGGACAGAACCGGGATCGGGGAGAAAAGCCAGGACATGGCGAGAGGAGCCCAGAGCGAGCGGGACGAGCCGGGAGCGGGACCGAAAAGCTCCGGATCAGCGGGGAAGAGCTGGAACGGGGCGGGACGGTCCAGGACAGAGCGGGACGAGCCGGGATCGAGGAGGAGGAGCCNCCTGTCCCCTCCAGGTGTGTCCCTGGCCCTGCCACGTGTGTTTCTGTTCCCTAGAGTGTTCCTGTCCTGCAGGAATGTCCCTGTCCCCCCCACCTGTGTCCCTGTCTCCTCCACGTGTGCCCCTGTCCCTTCCACGTGTGTCCCTGTCCCTTCCACGTGTGTCCCTGTCCCCCAGGGGTGTCCCTGTCCCCCAGGAGTGTCCCTGTGCCCCCCCAGGAGTGTCCCTGTCTCCCCCCACGTGTGTCCCTGTCCCCCAGGAGTGTCCCTGTCCCCTCCAGGCTCCCTGCTGCTCTCCATGGACGGTGTTTTCCTGTCTCCCAGCGAGGATGAGTTCGTGGGCAGGATCGTGGAGGAGCTGGAGCAGTTCCTGCTGCAGGGGCAGCACCAGCGGTGGGTCCTGGCCTGGAGGGAGCCCCTGGCAGCTGCAGGGACACGCTGGGACTGCAGCTCAGGCTTTGCTTCGTTTTCCTGGGGTGAAAGCAGCAGCATTTGGGGTCTGCCTGGGGAGCTCCCTGTACTGGGCTCGGTGTGGGATCCCTTCCTCCGGCCACACCTTCAGGCAGTGTTTTGTGGCTTTTACTGTTCAGCCTGGTTGCACCTGGATCTGCTCCCAGCCCAGGAGCTGACCCTGGGGTGCTGGGCAGGAGCAGGGGCAGTGCTGAGCTCAGCTCCCTGCCAGCAGGCTGTGACCATCAGTATTTGTTTCAGTGCTTTTTTATTTTATTTTAAAACATTTGGCAGAGGAATTCCCTGTGCAGCTGTCAAACACTTGGGGACAAATGACAGCAGTGACACTGAACGTGGGGTTTGTTTATCCAGTCTTGGGTTATTCCTGGTTTCTGGAGTGGGACTGGAGGAAGGGGATCAGTAGCAGCTTTCTGCTGGTGCTTCCCAGCCTTTCCCATATGGATACAGCAGGAATGCGAGTCCAGGCCTTGGGGTCAGGCATTCCCAGCCTCGCCTTGCTCTGTTTTATGTGTAAAATGTGTCTGGCTGCAAATCTGGGAAGGGATTTGTGCTCTTCAATAACATCAAATCCTGCTCGGCTGTTTTTTCTGATTTAAATCCCATGCTGGGAATGACTTGGGGACAAGGTGGTTTGATTTTTCCAGCATTCCCATCCCTTCCTGCACGTTTCTGATGCCCTGAGCCGTGTCTCCTTTCAGGGTGCTCCTGTTCCCGCCCCTGCCCAGCCGCCTCAGGTACCTGATCCATCGCACCGTGGAAAACATGGAATTGTTGAGCAGCTTCTCGGTGGGAGAGGGCTGGAGGAGGAGGACAGTCATTTGTCACTCGGCCGTCAGGTGAGCTGTGCTCCCCTGCCTTGGGGCTGACAACGGCCATGGAATCCTGGAATGGTTTGGGAGGGACCCAAAACTCCCAGTGCCACCCTTTGTTATCTTCTGGGGTCACCTCCCACTGTCCCAGGCTGTTCCAGGCCCTGTCCAGCCGGGCCTTGGGCACTTCCAGATGCTCTGGGAATTCCATCCCAGCCAGGAATTCCATCCCAATATCCCATCCATCTCTGCCCTCTGGCAGTGGGAGCCATTCCCTGTGTCCTGTCCCTCTATCCCTTGTCCCCAGCCCCTCTCCAGCTCTCCTGGAGCCACTTTTGGCTCTGGCAGGGGCTCTGAGCTCTCCCTGGAGCTTTCCCTTCTCCAGGTGAACATTCCCAGCTCTCTCAGCCCTTGCATCAAGCATGAAGCCACCGTTTCCCATTTAAGGTCTCCAATACCGACAGCACTTCCCAGATCCTACAGAACAAATTCCCTTTGTGAATTTGATGCTTCTCCTCCTTTTCCACCCCCCATCCCTGGGCTTCCTCCGCTCACCTCTCCTCATCCTCTCCTTCCCAGGCTTCCCACCGAGACCACGAGCGACCAAAAACCGGGGGCCAACCCTCGGCCGCAGCGGCCGGCACAGCCCTGGGGCCGGGGGGGGCGGGGGGCCCGGCCACGCCACCCCGGGGACACCCACGGTGACAATTCCCGCGCTGCCGTGGGCTCGGGCAGGATCACCAGGCCGCCCAGGAGGAAGCCAGACAAAGCCCTGTACGTGCCCAAAGGGATCCGGAAAAAGGCGAATTGGAGGGAGCGGGAGAGCCCCGGGGCGGAGCAGGATGGGGACGCCGCTCCAGGAGGTGAAAACTGCCCCAAAAATTCTGTCGGGGTCGCCCAGCAGGAGGTGGGCAAGGATGGAGGCAGCCCTGGGAAGCAGCAGGAGCCTGAGGAGGAGAATGTTCCAGAAAAAGGTGGCACCGAGCTTCCTCTGTGTGAGGAAGAGGAGGCATCCCTAGGGAATAGCAAGGATTCCTGTGAGCAGGAATGTCGGGATAAAGACTGTTCCCATTCCCTGTCTTCTGGACACAACAAACACCCACCCGAGGAGCGAGAGTCGGGCCCTGCCAACGCAGCCATTCCAGAAGGCAGCCAATTCCAAGAGGAAAACCCTCAGAGCTGCGATTCCGGAGGGTCGGAGCATGGGAAAGGCTCCTTCCCTTTGGAAAACCACGGTGGCAGCCAGACAGAGCTGGCTGTGGTAGAGTCCCCGGTGCTGGAAATCCAGAGCCTGGAGAGCAGCAGGAACAAATCCCCTCCTGGAGACCGGGATTCCAGGAACACCAAGGAGGGAGGCTGGAGCTTTTCCATGCTGGAGAGCCCCGGCACTGCCCAGGGGGAGCAGAAACCTCTCCAGAATGTTCCAGAACTTCCAGCGTTCCAGAAGGTTGTGGGAGGCCCAGGTGAGGCCCTGGCTGCTCCTGAGCCGCTCCGTGGTGGCGATGCCGGCGCTCTGGTGCAGATCCAAGGCAGGATGGAGGAGGAGCAGGAGGACAAGGAGCGCTCAGATGTGGCCGAGGCACTGTGGAAGGGCCTGGATTTGGCTGCAGGGAACAGAGAGGGGACGAGGCAGAGCGGCCTCGAGGACGACTGCACAGCAGAGCTCCTGGCAGAGGTGATTGGAGGAAAAATTGGGAAAAGAGGGGAAGGAATCAGTGCCTGGGAGGAGATTGCACGTCCTGGGTGGTGCAGAGCTGGGTTGGAGTGGCCGAGGTGAGGATTGGGCTCTGAGGGGGTGAAACTCAACCCTGGCTCATTGCTTTAATTTTTAATTCCTGCTTTGGATCTTCCCCAGATTGTTGGGAATTTGACAGTGAAGGACATCAACATTGAGAGGATCAGCGTGGATTATTGCGGCTACGGAGAGGCCCAGATCTGTGAGGGGGACTTGGGCCACGTCACTGAGATCTACGACTTCCCCTCATCCCTGAGAACCGAGGATCTGATGGGAATATTCTCTGATTTCCAGTGAGTGATGCCCCGGGACCCTCAGCAGGCCAGGGAGCAGAGTCAGCCTGGGATTGGCAACAAAATTTGTGAATAAGTTTCTCCTTCCCCTCCTGGTGTGCCTCAGAGGGGCTGTTCCTGCAGTTTAGGCCAGGTTTAAAGCCTGGCTTTAACCCCCTGGTATCCACAGCCAGGCCCGGCCTGGCTTCACCCAGGTGCTTTGTAGATGTTTTTGTGGTTCCTGAGTGAAAACATCAGAGTTTCCAAGGAAAAGGATCCTTGTTTTATCCTGGGGATAAAACTGGGAAATCCAGGGAATGAAGCTGGATTGGAGGCAGAGCCAAGGGCTGGGCCCAGCTCTGAGTTCCTCTCACTCCTGTAAAAGGCACCTTTCCCTGTTTTCCTCTCCTGGGATAATTCCTGGATTAGATACAGAAATTTCCTCTACAGATCTCTTCAATTAAACCAAATAATTACATTTAAAAATTATATTTAAATTATTATTTAAAACTATATTTAAAATAATTCATCTGTGAAGGCAGAGCTGGGTCCAGCTCTGAGTCCTCCCTCCCTGCCTTCCTGCCTTCCTGCCTTCCCTCCCTCCTTCCTTCCTTCCCTCCTTCCCCCTCTCCTGGGATAATTCCTGGATTAAATATGTAAATTCCCTCTACAGATCTCTTCAATTAAACCAAATAATTACATTTTTAAATTATATTATTATTTAAAACGATATTTTAAATAATTCTTTGGTGAGAGCAGAGCTGGGTCCAGGTCTGAGTTCTTCCCCTGTTTTCCTCCCCCTCTCTCAGGATAATTCCTGGATTAGATATAAAAAATTCCCTCTACAAATCCCTTAAATTAAACCAAATAAATTCTGTTTTAAAATTCTCTTTAAATCATTCCTTAAAACTGTATTTTAAATAATTCTTCCTGTACTGGGGATGCTTCCTCACATTTATTTTCCCATTCTCTGGGAGTGAAGCAGAGCTGGAAAAGGATGGATCCAGCGGAACAGTGGATTGGAATTCTTGTGCTGCAGGAAAGCTTTGAATTCCTGCTGCCAAATTCCCATTTTCCACTGACCCTTTATGAGATTTTTCACCCCAAACCCACTTCATCAATCCCTTGTTTTTTATTGTTCTGCCTAGGAAACACTTCAAAAATGACAATATTTTGGTGCTGGAAGCCAGTCCCTGAAACTTGAGGTTGGGTTTGGGAGGAAAAGGAGAATTTTAGGATAATTTCACATTGTGGCATTGAAAAGGGCACATTTAATGTCCTTTTTCCCTTCTTTTCCTGCCCTTTTCCCTCATTTAAAATGGGAATAATGCTTTGGGAAACACCAGCTGTCCCCATAAAACACTGAAAACCTTTCCTGGGGCTGCTGGGTTTTACTGGGGCTTCATTTTTCTTGACATTAATTCAAATTATCCTTGTTTCTTGCAGCGAGAGCGGCTTCAAAATCCAGTGGGTGGATGATACCCACGCCCTGGGAATCTTTTCCAGCCTCTCCACAGGTATTTGGGGTGGGATTGATGCATCCCAGAGCTCCCAGCCCCTTCTCAATGCTCAGAACTGAGTTTGCAGAGAGATTTTGTTTGGCTTCTCCCTTTTTTTTTTTTTTTTTCTGTTCCTTTCCATCCTGGAAAGGTTTTGGGAAGCTGAAATTTCCAGGATGGGAAAACTTCTAAATTTTTGAATTAAATTTTTTTTGTTTTTAATTTAATTGCCTTGGATGTACCTGGATGCACTCTTAGACATTACAAATAATGATAATAAACTGTTTTTTCCACTTATTTTTTCCCATTTTTTTGGCTTTTATAACCAGAAAAAAAAATTCCTACAAGCATCCAGTCCCCTCCCAGGGACATTGGGAGTGGGATGGCACCAAAACTCTGGGAAAACTCATTTTTTTGAGGAATAAACGCCCCAAATTCAGCTCAGAGCCAGGTCTGGAGGGGTTTCCATCCTCCTGTATCCCAACAACTTCTGCTCTGTTTTTTGGGATTTCCTCTAAAAGTGCCAAGACTCTTTTAAAAGAACAATTTTTTCTATTTTTTGAATTCTTCCTGCAGTGCCCAGCATGACTTCAGCTGCTTTAATCCAACCTTTGAGCAAACACTGGAATTACAGAGCGTCCTTGCACCACAATTTGATTTTTTTGGGGTATTAATCCCAGCTTTTCCTGTTCCTTGCAGCATCCCAAGCCCTGGGCCGCCGTTATCCCTGCCTGAAGATCCGGCCCCTGATCCACGCCACCAAACAATCCAAGATCAAGGCCCTGCAGAGACCAAGTAAGGCCAAATTCCCTAAAATCCATCCCCCATTCCTTTGCTTTCCCAGTCCTGATGGGCACAGATGACAAATTCACATCCAAATTCATAATTCATATTTTTCTGCTTTCTTGGGTTTTTGATGGATCTCTTGGCTGTGGAATTTTGCTGGAATTCAGATTAAATTTTTTTTTAATTTTTGTTTTTTGGTGTAATATGCTGCTCATTTGGGGAATTGGAAGGGAAGGGCCATGCTAGAATGGGGATTTTTTTGGAATTTCCCAGGAATTTTCTCTTCCCTCTCCCCCTGCACCATCCAAAGGAGACAAACCCAATCTCGTGGTTGGCATAATTTTATTCAGGAAGGAGAAATGGTGAAGCTGAGCCGTGAATAGCAGTTGACTGATTACCAATGATTGATTGATTGATTGATTTCATTGCCTTTCAATCAGATTGATCAGGTCCAGTTGCCACAGGAAAGCAAAGCCACGAACCTCAGCAGCAGCAGAGACCCTGAACCAACAATTCCTGGGATTTTCCAGCTTGCTGCAGTCAGAATCAATTCCAATTTTAACCCTTTCAAGGGACACTGTCACAAATTCCCCAGTTTGCAGCACTGCTGGATTGAAAGGAAACATCCAAAAATTCACTTTATTTGCATCTCCCCTTCATCTGTTTTTTTTCATTTATTCACTCTTCTGAATCTGCTTAAATTAAAAGTAAGAATTAAATATAAGAATTAAACATAAGTTCTGTTGGTATCCAGTTTCAATAGATTTTTTTCCAAATACAAATTTAGATTTTAATTAGCTGACAGTGTCTCTTTTTAAATTTTTTAGGTTTTTTTTAATGAATGAAACTTTTGTAAAAACAAGCAGAACCCCCCCAAATCCAAATTACTGTTAATTATTAATTTATCCCTTGTAGATGGAATTGCAGCAATCCAAAAAAATGGAAGGCACTGAACAAGGGGATTCCCAAGTTATCTGAAATACTTAAATATAATTTAAAATGCAGATTTTTTTTTTTCCTTGCTGTTTTCCAAGGATTTCAGCAGCTGGTTTTGAGGAGTTTCAATTTGGGATCAAGCTTTATGGGTAAATGGATAAATTGCCTGGGTTTCTCACAAGGATGGGATGTTGGGAGTTTTTACAGGAATAATTCCTGGAAGAGGATGGGCAACAATTTTCCACACAGCAGAAAAGACCTGAAACTTTATGGCGACCAAGCAATTCCACTGCAAAACATGGAATTCCATCTTCCTGGAAAAAAAAAAAACCCAACAATTTATTCAGAGACACAAAGATTTGATGTTGATAAACAAATAAAACAGCAAGAAAAAAAAAAAGCTGATTTTTACGATTTAACCACAAATTTCTCCCTGACCAAGGCCCAGCTGGATAATTTTTTCCCATTTTTCCCATTTTTCCCTAGAACTTCTCCATCTGGGAAAAGAGAGGCCGCAGACGGACACGGCCGTGGCCAGGAGACTCGTGTCCCACGCCCTGGGCTGGAAGCAGAGGCAGCAGGAAGCCACAGGGACTGAAGTTTTCCAACCAGAAGCTTTGGATCAGGAGGAATAATCCCCAAAAAAACCCCAAAAAAGGCTGTAAAGATAAGCATGGCTGTGCTATTAAATGCATGCAGAACAGGCAGTGCCACGGGGCTCTTCCTTTATGGATCGGCACCGCCTTGGAAAAGTTGGGAATGGGAAAGGTTTCTTGTTCAGGAATGAGGTGGTTTATTTATTCCTTATTCCTGCTCTGTTTTCAAAAAAAAAAACCCAAAAAACAAAACAAAAAAACCCCAAAACAAAAAAAAAACAACAAAACAAAGGCATTAAGAGTAAGAAAATTAAAATATTTTTGGCCAAAATTCAACTCTAAGCAAGGGCAGGAGTTCAAAAATCTGTTCCACATTTGTTGTAGCGTTGCTGTTCGGATATCCCAGAGAATTGACAGGCAGTGAATCCAAGTTTTAGGGAATTTTTTCCTGATTTACAGAGTTTCAAGAGCCTGAACTTCCCCATTGTTGAGGAAAGTTTGGATCTGCTCATTTGGGGGAAGAAAAAACTCCAGAATTTGTCTGTGCTGGTGTGCCCAGAGCTGGGTTTAAAATGAACTTCCAACCCCATCCAGGCTCTGCTTGCGCTCCAGTCTGGAATTCTGAGGGAAAAATGGAATTTTCTGGTGGCCAGGAGGTTAAAACCCTTTGCCAGCTGCTGTCTGCACCACAGAGAAATGGCAAAAACTCCACAAATATTTCTGCATTTTTAAGCCTCACAACAATCCCTGTGAGGTGGGGTTTTGGGGAAGTTTGCAGCCTGTTGGAATCCCCTGTGGAATCAGCTGGAATTCCAGATGACTTTGGTTGGAGAAAAGGGGGAAAATCCCCAAACTTCCAGGAATTGTGAAGAGAAATACACCAAGGGCTTCTGAAGGGATTTTTGGTTGGTTTTTTTTTTCCAGAGAAAAGGTTTTTATTGGAGCTCTCTAGCAAAGTGTGTCCTCAAACAAACAGAGGAGCACTGAGAATTCCCTCAGGAGCAGATCCCTGGGCATGAGAGCCAGGAATTCCCTCTGCAAGGTGCACAAGGATACGACACCCTGGCTAATTCATCCTTTAAAAAAAAAAATAAATTGTGTATCCCAGCAAGAGGCGATTCCTGGATGGGCACAGCACCTGTTGGGATGGGAATTTCCAGCCCAGAGGCCTCATCCCTCGGAATCTGCCGAGTTCTGGGTGCTGAGGGCTCACTTCGGGGAGCTTTGGCTCCATGTGAAATTCCATGCGAAATTCCATGTTCTGCGTTTGCTCCCCTCCGGAGTGGCGGTTGTTGGATCTAAGCGTTTCACTGCAGTATTAAATTCAGCTTTACACTGTTCTGCTCGCAAAAAGCTGCTCCTTTTTTTTCCTTTTTACCTTTTTTCTTCTTCCTTTCCTTGTATTTCCTTGCTGAGCTGGAGTCGAAGCTGAGCACAGGAAGCAGCAGCACGAGCAGAGGCATTGGGACTGGAAAAGAGCTGAAAATTCCCAACTAACACCTTGGAAATGAAGGATAAAGGCAATTTTGGGTGGCTGGGACCCACCTGAGGCGAGGAGTGCTGCAAAGTGCGGGAGAAATCTTTGGAATGGTGAAGAGCTGGAGCTGAGGAGAGCTGGAAGCTCCCACCAGGAGCGGGGCTGGAATTGCAGGAGCACCTAAAAAACTGGGAAGGGAGAGGCTTCTTCAGGAATGATTCACCTGAAATTCAGAGTTTGAGTGAGGCTTGATTTCCTGGGGGTGCAGTGGTTCAGGAAGGGCCGGAGCAGGAGTCCTGGCTTCCTTAAATTAGTGGGAATTCTACCGGGCTGACACGTTGTTATTTGTGAGTCCCCTGAAGTGGTCAAACTTCTGCTCCGTCTCCTCGCTGAAGGAACCACCTGGAGAGGCCACAGGGAGAGCAAGGTGTGAGCTGGAGTAGGGAAAAACACTCGGGAACAGGGAGAGCTCAGGAACATCGGGAAAGCATGGGAAAAACATTCAGGAACATCAGGAGGGCATGGGAAAAACACTTGGGAACACTGGGAGAGGGAAAACCACTCAGGAACACCAGAAGCACATGGGAAAAACACCCAGGAACAGGGAAAGCTGGGGAACATTGGGAGAGCATGGGGAAAACACTTGGGAACAGCAGGAGAGCACCGGAGCAGGGAAAAGTACTTGGGAACACCGGGAGAGGGAAAAACACTCTGGAACACCAGGAGGGCACAGGAAAACAGTTGGGAATACGGGGAGAGCACAGGAAGACATCCAGGAACACTGGGAGAGCACAGGAAAAAATTTGGGAACACTGGGAAAGCACAGGGTGAGCAGGGAAAAACATTTTGGAACTTGGAAAGTACAGGGAAAAACACTTGGGAACACTGGGAAAGCATGAGGAAAACACTTGGGAACATCAGGAGACCATGGGAAAGCATTTGGGAATACGGGAAAGCACAGGGAAAACACTCAGGAACACAGGGACTGGGTGGAACCAGCACCCTGGAAATGAAGGCCTTAAAGGTTTGGGGTAATTGGGGAACCAAACCCTTGGTTTGCTCAGAACCAAACCAGACCCTCCTTTCTATCGAATTAGGACAACATGGAAGTTCAACCTTATGTTTTTAATTACAAATATCTCCTGGCTCAGCTGCAGAACCCATGCAACAGCTGCAATGGGCTTCACTTCCCTCAGCTAGGCCACAGTCTGAAATGTGACACACAAGACGAGAATTTTCTGCTAAAATCCCAACAAAATAATGAGAAAAATCAGTGGTTAAGTGTTTTTGGGGTTTTTTTTCCACTAGGAAAAACATTCCTTGAAGAAGGGAATTTTCAGAGCCAGCTTTATTTGGAGCTGGGAGTTGTGTTAATTCATTTTCTGTGGTAAAACCAGTCCTAAAAAGCCTCCAAGTTGATTCCATATAGAAATGGTTTTGATAATGAACTAAGCCAAATCTAAATTAGTTTGGTTTTAATATTTCTATGGCCAAAAATATGAGAATATTTTACATTTTTTTCCAAGAAAACAAGACATTTCCCTGACATTCCAGGGACATTTTAATTCCTGCCTGGCACAGCGGGCTCTTTTCCAGGCTTTGTTCATTTTCCAAGTGAGGCTTTGTGATCCAAAGAGATCTCAGCTTGGCAAAATAATTTGATTTTTGAGAAGAAGGAATTTCCCAGGCCGATTGTGCCAGCACTGGGATTGCAACAGAGCTTTTCATGAGGGGGAAACACTGAATTCCTGGTGTAAGAGGAATCCTTAGAGCATCCCTGGAGGATTCCCAGCCCTCACCTATATGGCAGTTGTACATCCAGATGCGCTGCCCGTCGTAGCGGCTCCGGCATTTCATGACATTGTTGGAATAATCTGACTCTGCCACCTCGTAGTTGGGGTTGATCACCACCTGGGAGGGATGGAGGGATGAGGGTGGGGTTGTTGAAAAGGGGATTTGGCAGGAGGAAGAATCAGTTTGGGTTTTTATAGTATTTTAATAGCAGGAGATGAAAATACAATTTATTTTGGAAACAGAGAGAGGTGACTCAAATAAAGCCAGATCAGGGAATGGAGCCTCAGTCAGGGAATCCTGGAATGGCTTGGACTGGAAGGGATTGAAATCCCATCCAGTGCCACCCCTGCCTTGGCAGGGACACCTCCCACTGTCCCAGGGTGCTCCAGCCTGGCCTTGGGCACTTCCAGGGATCCAGGGGCAGCCACAGCTTCTCTTGGAATTCCAGCCCAGCTCTTTCCCACTCTCACAGGCAGGAATTCCTTCCTAATATCCCACCCAAATCTCCCCTTTCCCAGTGGGAGCCATTCCCTGTGTCCTGTCCCTCCATCCCTTGTCCCCAGCCCCTCTCCAGCTCTCCTGGAGCC